AATAATTGTTGCATAATTATAATTATGCAAACATTTTGATAACAAAGCTAATTGTTTATTAACGAATGCTACTTCAAAACTTCAATTCCCAGCAAGATTTTCATCATTGCATGACAAATGATTTATTTATCTTGTATTTTAGTACTTAACGCAAAAGGTCAATACGTATAGTGATTTTTAAAAGCAACTTTTTCGCAGAGCATTTGACGCTTTCGAATGAATGAGAAATCGAAATGTGATAATATTCGGAATCTTGAAATGAAAAGTATAAAAGGCAAAATAGTATCATAGAGTGTGCCGCAAGGTTTATTTTTGCACTGCTGTTGCTGTGCCAACGCATTATCGAACGTCGAATGGACGGCGATAAGCTCGTGGTCCATTTTGCTGACAAAAAAACATACGCAAAAAAAGGGAAACGCATGAGCAAGCTGGCGCATATATGTCGGGTCGATTCGCACTTGTTATGAGAGCCGTTGTATCGTAAATATTTATTCGTGGAAATATTTTTCCCCGAGTCCCGCGAAAAATGTTTTCCGAAATTTTTTGCACGATCGTAATCGTCGATCAGCGACTTGCTCTTGTTTCGAGATTTCATGAAAATTCAGACAACCGCCGACAAGCGCAACAAGAGATGCAGATAATTATAGATTTTAGCAATTCAGCTTTTAAAATGTTCAATGGATTAGGTTGACAGTGGTAAGATCGAGGACGAACGAGAGTTTAAATTTTATTTTTAATTAAAATAAACAAATCAATTTACAAATATTTTTTTTACGCGAAGAAATTATTGCATGAATTGCAATATGCAACGAAGGTTACAAAAAATATAAATATCATAAATTAATATAAAACTAAAGTAATCAATAATATGACAATATTAATTGTGGACATCATAATTAAAGAATTTAAGTACAACAATTCTTCTTTTTGTCCAATTATCTACAAACTTGAAGGGAAAAGTTTTAGAATTTTAAATGAAAAATTATTATTTTTAATTAATTTTATTAATTTTTTACAGATGCATTTAGCTCTTTGGCTCTTTTCTATTTTATTTTAAATTTATTATTTGATCATTAATTAATTATGATTTTATTAATATTAATTTTAGCCAACAGCGTTTGAAAACTCGTTTGTTATTCTATCTTGTTTATTGAAAATATTACAGTTTCAATTATTTTAATTATTTTACGTAAAATTCAATTTTGGATTGATTACAAAATTTCGCGACTGCTCTCGAAAATTTCGGAATATTATACATACCTCACAAAGCATAAAGCATTCTATCGTGCTATCGTTACACAGAAATAACTTTGTAAGGTCAGTATCCACACCCCATTACTAATGCAAATGCGCTTCTATTAATATTTCAAATAAGCTGCCCTATTATTATTGCAAATAAGCTATGGCCAATGGTAATTAATATCGATTTATGTTGTTTCCACATAACATGAGTTTATCAATCTTCGGCATTTCAAAGGTAAAAGGGCAATCGGCGTTTCCTGTTTCTAAATTATTAAAATGTTACGTTGTAGGAAGCAGGTTAATGATGTAAAGCTTTCGTTAATAATTCTTTGCATTATTAATATTAAAACGTATTTATTCAGCCAATAAATGATGATACACGTTTCTCTTCTTAAACTTTTGAGATAGAAAAATATCTCCCTGATTAGGAATATTATATTTATATATTTAAAAAATAACTTTATTTAATAATTTCAAAATCCTCTAATTAGAAACATCTCCAACGTCGGAAATTTGAAGTACTTTTAGTAATTGACGCACATGTACTATAGAGGGTAGAGGGTACACACGCTCACCCTCTCTACTCTCGCAGAGTTACATTAAGGTACTTCTTAACCATGCGTTTGCGAAACACAGTTTGACGTGCTCGCAATAAACATGCTCTCATTTCGCAAAGTTTCAAGATCAAGCCCGCAATTTATTTTATAATTCCGCAGAGCAGTGATAGTAAGGAAAGAAGGTGAAAACGTGGACTCGAAAGGGGATTCTGTTTATTTTACCGCTCCAGCGGCTTTCGCAGTTGGCAGATTGGAGAGGTGGTGGACCCGGCTTCGTAATTCCCATAGAGAGGGAGATGAGGGTGCAAAAAGAGGAGGGAATGTGGTTGCGGTGTTGAGGAAAGATTGCGGGATTACTGGACGCTGGTGTATTTCGTAGATATCGCCGCGGTACCCTTTTTTATAGTGTCGTAGCTCTCTCTCTTTCTCACCCCTCCCCCCTTTCTCTTTCTCACGCTCGGACTCACCCCTCTGTCCCCCTCGTCATCCCCCCTTGGAGCTATAAAAGCACTCTCCGCCGTTACGGTTTAAAGCCGCGGTCGCTACGTCGGTCGATTTGTTAATTTGCGAGCCGACCACTACTTACCCCCGGGCCGGAGAGGGTGCATTTAGAGGGCGCGTCTAGAGAACGCCCGATAAAAAAGAGAGAGGGTTAGCTCGACAAGTTTATGGTTTTCAAATAATGCGGGGATAAGCACTTCACTTCTCCCGACCTGTTATTCTTATTTTATTATCCAATATTCGTTGTTTTCTAATCCAGTATACTTATTGATTACCGTGCTTGCGCGCAAGCGATTTACTGAATTATTATGCAATAGTCGTATCTCATTAATTTTATCAATTATACCTATTTTGTCATTTATGAAGCGCTTAACATAATTCAGATTCGCAAAGATGTGATTAATTTGTACAAAAATTACCGGAAATAATCCGGATCCTCGAGAGATGGAACCGTGCGCGCATGAAACCGAAACGTTTATCTGCGGCCAAGTGCCAAAACAAGTCCCATTCCGTTGGGAGCAGGATCGTTTCGGAGCAGGAAAAAGCACAGTAGACACTAATGCGTCTCTTCCTAGAAGGATATAGCGGGTGGTCGGTTTCTTGCTACCTTAAACGTCGTTGGAAAGTAGCGTACTTGCGGGTACGCGCGGCAACCGCTGTCGTTATTCCGCAAAACAGAAATTCCGGCGAAAGAAAAAGTTGGGCTAGAGCGAGAAATCTATTTGTTATTCCGCTGCAAGCTCCGAATAAATTGCAGGTAAACGTGACAGAGCGGATAACAATCGCGATTTGTAGCCACTGACCAACTGAATCGAATATCGAATCCGGTATAATAAAAGCAAGTTTATCTATACATCTACTAACAATAGAATATAGGACGACAATAACAATATGCGCGGAAGCAATATAGCGCGGCAATATAAAATTAATAAATTATTTCTAATAAATATTTTTACACGAAATTCTCGTAACAGTTAGCTGCATTTTTTTGCGCTCGTAGGAACGTAATTATCTTTCGGTAAAATTTTCAAACTTAAAAGCACAAGGATGTAATGTCCTGCAAAGGGACGCGAAATAAGGGAGAAAGGGTGAAATGAGAGGACGTCGCGATGCTGTTTTAGTTGTATGTAGCGTCGGTGGCAAGAAACAAAAGCCGTTCTAGCGGGTTCAGGCAGCCTCAGGGTCGAGATAAAATGGAAATGCACTGTGCTCCGTGCGCGCATATACGCGAGTACACCCTGTATGATGGGGCGCGTGTATGCTTTATGTGTGCATATGCGGGGTGCGAGTGATAACGTTTCGCGCTGAGGCCGCCTCTATCTCCTATTGGCGCTCGAATTGTTACGACCTCGCAATATCCTGCACAGGATAACTCCTTTTAGGATTGTAGACGGAGAGATCTCAGGCTGAATCGTCGGCGATAGAGGATAAGGAAAATATCACAATATACAAGAAAATGGCGAAATCAAAGAGTGTGGAAAAAGGTAGGAGTAAATAGGAAAGAAAAGAGAGAGAGAGAGAGAGAGAGGGAGAAAAAGAGAGAGGAAAGGAGAGAATCAGAAAATATATTCTGACATGATGTAGTTCCTATTCGATCTGCAAGATAATCTGCAGAATGAGAACATCTGAAATTAAATTGTCCACAGTAAAAGTCGATGATTGAAATATCTTAAAATACTAAAGAGAGAAAATATGGAAAAGAGAAGGCGAATGCAAGAATCGAGAGATTTGCATGAAAATCTAAAGAATCCTGAGTGAAGAATATATATGTCGGATAAGTGAATCCTTGATATTATATTCTTGATAATGATTTCTTATTATTTTTATATAGACATAATTGTAATAAATTAAAAAACAATAAAAAAGTAAAAAATCTAAATATTTGAAATTTCTAAAGTAAATATTTATTGTCTTCTTTTATTCTAAAAGAAATATTACGTTGTCATATTTCACTAAAAATTCTAAATCTAATAAAATAAATGCTATAACAAGCATAGATTTTTAAATTTAAAGACTATTTTTTTGAATGATAAGCGCAACGTCGGACGAGAGGAGAAAAATATAACAGGACAAATAAATCTTTATAAATCCACAAATCCCCACAAAGGTGATATGCCCTTTAAACTAAATATTTTAAAACATTTTTCTAATATTAAAAAAGAGATTTCGGTATTCGTTTGTATCTCTTAATCCCTCGCTCTCGAGATATGACAAGTTAAAACCAGTTTTCTGCCTCAATGGAAGTTCGCAATTCCATTGGAAAATTGTAATCCATTGTATATTTACGCTGTGTATTTTATCAAAATTTGGATTTAAAAGGATTTTTTTTAATAGTTTAAAAACTTGAAACTGTTATTAAGTTAATAAAAACATATAATATATGCATATAATAATATAATACACTGCTATACGATATTTGAAATAAAATATTATTATTCATTAAAACAAAACTTATTTTATTATTATATATATATATATATATATATATATATATATATATAACATATTTATAAAACATTTATATACACACTATTATATTGAATTAAAAATAAAATGTATAATCGGGGTTTATCATATTACTTTTATATTATCTGTTTGTATTAATTGAAGAGAGATAAAAAATTTAAAAATTAATAAATTTTATTAAAAAATAAAATTTTGAAATTTTATATTGTTAAAAGCAAAAATTTGTTTAACATATTAGTTAATTGATAACATCATTTATTTATATTCACAGATACTTAACTTTCCAAATCCATTTTCCAAGGCTCTTTTTTAAAGCAATTGGACAACCTGTATAAATTTATATTGCTCGATTGTTGTCATGGTTTTGAAATCTCTCAAGGCAAAATTGGAGGCCATAAATAGTCGGCATGGCCAATATGTCAAACATCTTCAGGTTCGACATGAGTAAACGTATTGGTCCAATATCCTCGCTTGCGAACGGACGCACGCAGTTTGCAGTGTAATAGCGTTATGCACGTCGGCAGTCAAGTGAACGATGAACTCGGACAGCTTCGGCCTATTCTCCCTCGGGATAGTCGTCGCATGATAACTGAATAATTAATTATACAGTGTGATTAATTTACGCGGGGAGGAGCAAGCTTCGTTTGGAATACGATACTGGGGACTTGTCCGGGGAGAAACCTATAGGTATATATATATATATATATATATATCTGGTAAGATTTATCGTTTACTTGATGACTTTACTTCGAACGATTTACGGGTCTTAACTGCCATTACGACAGACGCAATTGGCTCTGCTGATTTTACGCGGACGTCGATCCACCGCCGTCATTTAATCACTGCTAACTCGGCGAACTGACAGCCCAAAGGCAAAATCGTTTCAAAGCCCGATAATTTTATCCCCCGCTTCTCTCTCTCTCTCTCTGTCTCTCCAATCTGTCCTCATGTCTCAGGAGATGCCTATTAAGATGGCGAAGTTTAAAGGTATTACGTTCAAAAAATTGAAAAAGGGATCAACAGGCGAAGAACTTCTTAAGAAAATGCTAAAGAGGGATAAACATAATTATAGAAATTTTTAAATTTTGTTTATGATAAAATGACTGAGCAAAAAGTATTTCTTTAACGGTTTTTTAAAATCGTTAACGAAGGCACGAGTATATCCTAGAAATTTTCAGCTTATTATCTAACGGTATTAACCTCAAGAACGAATTTCCGTAAACAAGCAAAAAGTACAAATTACATAAAGACCACAGCTTTTGCAAATCAATTAAGCCACGAATTACATACAAAACAAGTTGGCGCATCGTTCGACACACAGGGTGTTAAAGGCTTAAGATCTAAGTCCCGTCCGCAGATCCTGCGGCGAAGTCGCCATTGACATGCAAATGAAATCATAAAGCTGCAGCGAAGCGGCGGCGTATCGTCTGTAAGGTATAATTACTGGCGCATCGATCCCGGTCCGCGCCGCCATGACGGCCTGTATCTCCCGCAATTATCTCCCGCATTTAATCAGACTAAATTCACCTATTGTTGGCGCAATACGTGCGTCGTTTCGCTATGATTTCGATTAACGCTCTCGGCTTCTCCTATACGGCAGCCGAATGCCCAAGGCAGCGATTGTTACGCGTGCGAAGCTGCAAACGTCATTACTTCGCGCACATTTGCTGCATGCGTTAATAAACTTGCCGTCGTCATATTCCGTATACTATATATATGAAATATCTTTGAAGGGTTCGAATATTTCACCGTTTATATTTCTCGCAGCAAGTCATACACTAGTAGTAGGAATTATTATATTAAAATTATTAATAAAATATTAAATGATAATTAGCTAATTACAACTTACTCATTACAAAACTAATGCGAGATAATTAAAAAAATAATAATTAATAATGTTTTTTATAAATTGTTTTGATTATTTTACGACTATCAGTATGATAAAATAAAATTAGTATTTTATGTTATATTATATTATTATTTTTTAAATTATTTTATTACCATAAATGTATTAACGTGATATTTTTCAATAATAAAATTTATTGTTACAAAATAATTATAGAATAATAAACGGGTGAAAGCAATTACTTTATAATGATCGTTAATTTCGTCATTGGAGAAAATGTTATATTATATTGTAGAATTATAGAATGTGACATTGCATCAAAATGTACAATAATACACATTATTATGCATTATTACGCATATAATAATTCCATATAATAATTTCATTGTTGTAATAATTGATAATTATAAACCTGATTAACTCTCCACCTTTCAATGCCGTAAAAGATAAATGTAATCAATTATGGTGGATCAATCTAAATGCGACGACGAAGAGGGGCGAGGCGTTTTGTACAGTTGTGACAATCAGAGGGAATGCATCGGGCATTTGTGTAGCCCTCGTGGTTGCAATCCTTCCTAGGCCCGATATACACCGTCCCTCGACGGCGGCGCCTGACTGCACACGACGGCCATCGCTCACTTGGCCAGGCCCGGTCCGGCCACTTGTCTTTGTTTTATCGAAATGCGATACGGTCAGCACCGTGTAACGTTGGCTGCACCGCTAACCGATAATGCATGACCCCGTCGTATCCACGAAATTGCGCGGTCTCGGCGCATCTCCGATGCAACTGCACCGCTGCAGTTGTCGGTCGGTCGGTCGGTCGAGGTCCCGATCTCC